TCTCTGTGTGTGTGTGTGTGACTATCATAAATTAAAAAAAAAAGAATACATACTACATATAATATACAAAATATGTGTGAATGGACTGCTTATGTTATTGGTTAAGGCTTCTAGTCAACAGTAAACTATTAGTAGTTTAAGTTTTGGAGGAGTCAAAAGTTATACACAGATTTTTGACTGCACTGGGGATTGGCAGCCCAGCCCGTCCAGTTCAAAGATCAAATATAGGGCAGCCCCGGGTGGTTCAGGGGTTTAGCGCTGCCTTCAGCCCAGGGCCTGATCCTGGAGACCTGGGATCGAGTCCTGCGTCGGGCTCCCTGCATGGAGCCTGCTTCTCCCTCTGCCTGTGTCCCTGCCTCTCTCTCTCTCCTCTCTGTGTTTCTCAGGAATAAATAAATAATCTAAAAAAAAAAATAAACAAGGATCAACTATACTTTTCGTGATCTGTCTCTTCAAATATTTGCCCTTTTATTTTTTTTTTTTAATTTTTATTCATTTATGATAGTCACAGAGAGAGAGAGAGAGAGAGAGAGAGAGAGAGGCGCAGAGACATAGGCAGAGGGAGAAGCAGGCTCCATGCACCGGGAGCCCGATATGGGATTCGATCCTGGGTCTCCAGGATCGCGCCCTGGGCCAAAGGCAGGCGCCAAACCGCTGCGCCACCCAGGGATCCCAATATTTGCCCTTTTAAAACTTGGGTTATTATTTGTTGTTGACTTGCACCTATGAATCTTTTTGCCAGGTTTATGCATTATAATTCCCTCCAGTGACTTGACTTCTCACTTTCTTAACGGTACCTTTTGAGGAGAAATTTTAAATTCAAATAAAATCCAATTTATCAATATTTTCTTTCAAGATTGGTGCTTTTTTGTATCCTAAGAAATCTTTGCCTACCCTAAGATAGATTTTCTTTTATGTTTTTTTAGAAGTGTTGTAGTTTTAGCTTTTATATCTAGATCCCTAGTCCCTTTTACAGTTCATTTTTCTATATAGTGTCAAATGGGAGTTAAGGTTTTTTTCATACATATATCCAGTTGTTGTAGCATAATTTGTTGAAGACTGTTTGCCTCCCGTTGGATTACCTTAAAAAAATAGACCATAGATAGATACGTGGGTCTACTTCTGGACTCTATTCCATCTAGTCCATGGCGTATCCTCTGCTAAGATCACAAAGATTACCAAGCTGTCATAGTAGCTCTTGAAATCAGTGTATAAGTCCTCCACATTGGTTCTTCTTTTCCAGAATTATTTTGAGTCTTCTGGTCCTTCACATTTTCATGTGAATTTTGTAATAAGCTTCCCAATTTTTATTTTTTTAAATGCCTGTTGAGATTGGGATTGGGATTGCTTTGAATCAATAAATCCACAGGGAAAACTGCCATTTTGACAATATTGATTCTTTCAATGCATGAACATGGAAAATATGTCCATTCACTTGGAGCATGTTTAATTTCAACAGTTTTATCATTTTCAGTGTGTGTATATATACATATACACACACACACACACATACACAGATACCTATATATACACTTATCTAAAACATTAATCTTTTGACCTTGTAAATAATATTTCATCTCATAATTGTGCTAAAAAAATAAATAATAAAATAATTGTTTGTGCTGAAATATGGGACATATAAGTGATCACTGTATGTGGACCTTGTGTCCTCCATCCTTACTAGGTGTCTCTTTTGGGTGTCACTAGCTTTTCTGTGGAATCCTGAGGATTTTCTTTTTTTCTTTTTTCTTTTTTTTCCTGAGGATTTTCTGTGTTTGCAACCATGATTTAGTTCTTCCTTTCCAATGCATGTGCCCTTTTCCCCCTGACTCTTGGCAATGGTCAGGACCACCGCAGAACGTTGACTAGAAACGGTGACAGAGAACTCCCTTCCTTGAGTCTGATCTTGTGTGTGTGTGTCGGGGGGGGGGGGGAATATTCAGTCATTTACCAAAAAGTATGATGTAGAAAAGGATTCAGAAAAAAGCATTTTACAAATCTCAAAATCCATTCATGAGTGAAGGTCTTGGTAAACTTGGTCTAAAAAGTCAAAGGCATCTATCCTTGTTTCAAAGATTGTTGAGTTTTGAGTGAGTTTGTATGTGGATCAACCTGAATCTCTGAAGACCTACTTTTAAGCGTTGTTGAGGCAGGTCTAGAGTAGCGCGGTCACCCTAATCCTGAGGTGTCACCTTTCTGGTAGTCGTCACAAAGCCCATGGAATTCAAGGGTCTTTGCTGTGACATTACTTACGATATTAAAAGACCAGAAACAATGTAAATGTGCAGAATTAGAGGAATAGTTGAAGAAACTAGGGAGTATTCACACAATGGGGTACTACATAGTGATACCGCCAAATTAGGCAGATCTCCGTCCCCAGGGTCGTTATGGAGAAGGATCATTAGGTGAGAAAAGCAAAGGGCAGGGCAGCGTGTATTTGCATGTGTGCGTGCATGTACACACGCCCATAAAGTACTATATCCTATCCTCTATACTGCACCCACATTGCAATGTATATTACTTTTCATACATAAAATATTATGTATTATATATAAATATTGTGAAATATATGCATATCGAAAAAGAGCATGTGCATCAAAACAAAAACTAATAAAAGGCATGATGAGTTGGAGGGGTAGGTGGGATGGAGGAGACGAGTCACGGATGGAACCAGGGTCTCTCCATGTCCACCTTTTAATATAGTATATGTTTTATGTGTTCAGAAATAAAATTAAATTAGGGTGCCTGGCTGGCTCAGCTGGTTGGGCATCCCACTCTTGATCTTGGTTCAGGTCATGGTAAATATTAAAAAAAAAATAAATTAAATCCAGAAGCAAAATTAATTTTAATATTAAATATAAATGGGGATAAATGACCCCAATCGTGTATCAGATTAGCAACAGGAAGAAAAATAATTGTTTCAGTGACCTCTGATGCACGACCCTAAGTTTACATTTGGGCTTAATGAAATACACATTTTTTAAGGATTTAAAAGGCTCCAAAAACTCTTTTACTTCGTTCCATCATTTTGATAGCGGTAGTAGAACTGAAGTACAGTTGGAAGGGAGAAGGAGCCCCAGCCAGCAACCTGCTGCGGGAGGAGCAGCCACCTCTCGGCGCTGGAGCGTGGTCCTAGGTCCTTTCCGGGGCTGAAGGGGGCACCCCAGAAATAGGCCGGGAGGACGGAGTGGGGGGCTGCCCCGGGCACATGTGAGGGCACGCCGGCCCCTTCCCAGGACACAGACTTGGGGCGGGGGGGGTGATGTTGGGCTCTGCCGGGGGCACCCAGGGCTGCAATAACTTGTCGTGCCATCGGGCGTAACGTGGCCTCATCCTGTGCCCACCACCCTCCTGCGCCCACCACCCTCCTGCGCCCACCACCCTCCTGCACCCACCACCCTCCTGCGCCCACCACCCTGCTGCCTCCACCACCCTCCTGCGCCCACCACCCTGCTGCCTCCACCACCCTCCTGCGCCCACCACCCTCCTGCACCCACCACCCTGCTGCCCCCACCACCCTGCTCCCTGGCCCAACAGCCATCCTTTCCCCAAGGGCAAACCGGCACCCACGGACTTCTGGTTGCATTTTCATTTCATGGGCTTGTAGGGTAAAAGCACCCGGTTACAGACCCCCCTCCCCCGCCCCGCCCAAGCCTCTGGAAGGTCTTGGTCCAAAACGGAGTCAGTCTACCTAGAAATTTCAGCTTAATCATTTCAAACAAATAACAGCAGAAGGAAGTGGTAATCATCTACCCGGGGTTCTAATTTTAAAATGTGAATAATTAACTTTCCAGGAAAGAAAAAAAAAAAAGGCAACTGAACCTTAAGAGCAGTTGAATCCAGTAAGCGTCGCCATACAGGGCGGACAGCAGCAGCAGAAGCCGCCCCACACTTACCGCAGGCGATTCCCAGGGACGTGGTCGCCGGAGGCCAGACTGGAGCGTTTGCGCCCGGGTCCCGCCCTCAGGCCCCTGCCCGCTGGGCCACGGAGAGGCGTCCAGAGGTGCCACCTGCGCCGCCCTGGCGGGGCCACCCCCACGCGCCCGCTTCCAGTGCGCATTTCCTGCAAGTCAGCTTGTCCCGCAGAACCGCCAGCGCAGCTCCCTCTGCTGCGGGCGGGAGCTGAGCCCTGGCCGGCGCCCACCTGCACCCAGGAATCTGCAGGTGGGTGGGTGGCGGTTGGGGAGCCAGGCCCAGGACACTGCAGCAGAGGCGCGTCCTTCCTGCACCCCCTCCCGGGAGTCCAGTTATCTCAGTGGCCCACACATCCCGCCCTGGGGGCGCCTGCCCCCCGCCCCCCCCCCATGGTGACTGGTTGCCCTTGGCTCAGGTCATGACCCCGGGCTCCTGGGTTCCAGCCCCACCTCATATTGGAGCCCCCTGCTCAGCAGGGGGGCTGCTTCTCCCCCTCCCTGTGCCCCTCCCCTGCTCCTGCTTGCTCTCTCCATGTCAAAAAGAAATACAATTTTAAATAAAAAAAAGAAGAAATTCATCTCCTGACAGTGTCACTGCACATGCACGACAGAAGAAAGAAAGGGGATGGGGGCAGGACAAAAGAGAGGACAAGGAAGGCCAGACAGGGCCTGGGAACACAGCGCCGCCACAGGGTGGCGGAGGGGACGGTGGGGTCGGAGGGGGACAGCAGGGGCAGCGGGAGGTGGCAGGAGAATGGTGGGGGGACAGCGAGGGGACAGCAAGGGGACAGCGGGAGGACAGCAGGGGACAGCGGGAGGACAGCGAGGGGACAGCAAGCGGACAGCGGGAGGACAGCAGGGGGACAGCACCAGCTAGAGGGTTTCAAAAGCCGGTCCCACAGTTTGGTGGCAGCGCCCTTGGGACACGAGTTATTCAGCATCAGGGCCGTGGCTTCTTCATCCACCGACTCAAACGAGGGAACAGGCTGCAGGTGGGCCAGGCCACAGCCCGAGCACAGCCTGTTCCAGAACCTTCCCTTGGGGCCGATGCCGCAGTCCCAGGGATATCAGGATGGAGTCAGTGCTGTGGTATTTTTTTCTTTTTATTAAAAAACAAATTAAATAAAATAGCCATCAGTTTTCCAGAAAACGGAAGCGGAGTGCACGGCTCACGGCGCGGCAGGCCCGGAGCCCAGGGTCGGCGTCGAGGCGGCGGCCGTTTCCTTCTCCTCGTACCTGGGAGGCAGCTCGGGGGGTGGGAGGGGGTCGGGGGCCACAGCAGCCCCAGAAATGGTGTATATGGATTCTCCATGCACCTCGGGGGCGGCGCCCTGGCGCCCAGGAGCTGGGGTCCGACTGAAAAGGAGGGAGAAGGGGGACAGGTCAGGCCCCAGGACGCACCTGAGAGCGGCGCTCTCGGCCAGCGGCGGCTTGTGCGCCTCTGGGGCTGCGGTGACACGCACACCTGGGTGCCTCCCCCCGCCCTTCGGGTCACATTAGAGACCTCACCCCGCTGCTGCCCTTGTCATGAGGGAGTCCGTAGGGAGCCTCGTCTGGCCTGGGTTCAGGCCTGGTCTCCGCAGGCTACCGTGGGGCTGCGGGAGGCAGACAGAGGCCAAGGCAAATGGGTCAGGAGGCCAGGCCCCGGCGGGAGCTTCCAGAACGCGCCACCTGGACCAAGGTCCTAGCCCCCGAGCCCTGTGTGCACCTGCGGTGGGCCCTGCCCCCCAGGCCGGCCCGCCCTACTGCAGTGACAGAAATCACACAGCGGTGGGGACCAGGGCCATGGGTAGGCTAACAGGCCTTCACTGAGGGCTTGGGGGAAGCTCATGGTCGGAGAAAAGAACATAAAAATCCCCCAAGAGGATCACGCAGCTGTGCGGAGCCTCCGTCCCCCGTCCGGGCAGGACGATCCTATCTGTGCCCCTGCAGCCCCCACCCCGTTTGTCGTGCAAGAGGAATGCGGGCCTTGGGACGTGGAGGGGCGGGTGAGGCGGCTGCCACCCCAGCCCTGCCCGGGTCCTACTCCCAGGGCACCCGGGGGGCTCCGCGGTGGAGCCTCTGCCTTGGACCCAGACCGTGACCCCGGGGTCCCAGGATTGAGTCCCGCGTCGGGCTCCCTGCATGGAGCCTGCTTCTTCCCATGACCCCCATGTCCGTCTCCCCGTGACCTAACGTGGCAAAGCCCAACATGGCCCGGGGTGTCCCAAGGCCCGGCTCGGGGGCTCAACACGTGGAGGATCAGTGCAGCCAGGAGGACCTCAAGATGCCCGCACAGGGCTTCATGCTCCACCCGGTGCAACCGCTGTTGTCATTTTTAATGTATGCGCTGCCCCAGAGTTTCCTGAAGGGCGCTCTTCCTGCGAAGGCGATAATCGGGCCGCGCCGTCCACCAACAGAGCCCCCGGCCTCTGATGTCCGCGCCTGCAGCCTTACAGACCTCACCTGGCCTGGGCTCAGGCCTGAACACGTGAAATGCACCTACTCATGAAGTTCAAATGCAGAAGTCTTACCCATAGTTAAAAATACTGTAATACGAAGGTGGATTTTCATCTGGACGCAAACCATCAGCCCCAGGACTTCGAGTCGCTGCAGGAGCCGAGGACTCGGGAAAGTAGGGCGGCGGCGGCGGCGGGAATAGGATCACGGCGTCACCTAGGGAAACAGCATTCCAGTGAGCAGGGCCGCAGGCGCACAGCAGCAGGAGCAACGCGGGTGAATGATGCATTGGGCCCATGAATATAAAAGGTCAAAACACCTAGGCTACCTGCGGAATTTAAACGTGCACCCATCGAATGTGCAGGGGCGGAAAGTGAAGGTGGCCCGGGGCAGGGCGACGGGGGGGGGGGGGGGGGGGGCACTGGAGTGAGTATTCAATGGGGCACTTCCTCCCTGGCAAAGAGAAGCTTCTAGGGGTACCCGGGGGCTCAGTGGTGAGCGTCTGCCTCTGGCCCAGGGCGTGACCCCAGGGTCCCGGGATCGAGTCCCCCATCAGGTCCCAGCATGGAGCCTGCTTCTCCCTCTGCCTGGGTCTCTGCCTCTCTCTCTGTGTCTCTCATGAATAAATAAAAACAATCTTTAAAAAATAAATAAAAAGAAAAAAGAAGTTTCTAGAACTTGATAGTGGTGATGGTGGCAAACACTGGGAAGGTGCTTAATGTCACTGTACACTGAAAAATGCTTAAAATGGTGAATTTTATGTTACGTTGACAGTACCACAGTTCTTTCCAGCAGTGAACCAGTATTTCCCTTTTTTAAAAAAATAATTATGTTGTTATGATGAAGATATTTTTAATATTTTTTAATTTTTTATTTATTTATGATAGTCACACAGAGAGAGATTGAGAGAGAGGCAGAGACACAGGCAGATGGAGAAGCAGGCTCCATGCACCAGGAGCCCGACGTGGGATTCGATCCCAGGTCTCCAGGATAGCGCCCTGGGCCAAAGGCAGGCGCCAAACCGCTGCGCCACCCAGGGATCCCGAACCAGTATTTCCTGATGGGCCTGAGCTAGACCCCTCGGTGAAGTGCCCGCATCCTCGGGACGCCTCCTGCTCCAAAGCCTTCCTCATCCTCAACTTAAGATTTTAAGTCATCACCGCTTGGCAGTTGGAGGAAGCGCGGTTCTCCGGGTGGTGGGAGCCCCCCGGGGAGGAGCTGAGGCCCCCGGGTCACTGCCGCCCAGCAGGTGCGCCTCCGGGGCTCTTCCCACCCAGGTCACCACGCGGTACAGGCAACAGGCACTCTCAAGGGAAGCTTGTTTGCCTTTGGCGGGCGGGCTGGGCCCTCGGCCTTTCTGTGGCCACGGTTCCCTCCAGACATAGGACATGCTTTCCACAGGAGACACAGACTCCACGTGCAAGCTCTAACTTGCACTCAGGTCCCCATACAGACCCCACCAGGGGGGCTGCCCAGAACATTCTAGACGTGTGGCGGCCCCAGAACATTCTAGACGTGTGGCGGCCCCAGTACGCGGAGGTTTGAGGGTACCTCTCCCCGGCCGGCGGCACCACAGGACAGCTCAGGAAACATGAGGGACAGACGACGGTCATCAGGGCCGGGGGAAGCGTCTGCACCGGGGTGCACAGGCCGCTTTACCGCTCCCGGGTTCCCACCCAAGCAGGCACCGTGACCCCCCCCATCCCTGGGCCCCACCTGCTGCACCTGCCCTGCCCGCCATCCCTAAGTGCACCTGCCGCAGAAGTGGAGGCTCGGGTGCTGCTGGGGACGGTGCTGCTCTCGGAGGGACTCCTGCAGACACCGGGGCACCCCTGCTCCCTGCCCACCCCGTACCCCGGCACCCCTGCCCACCCAAACACAGGCACCCCTGCACTGCCCCCCCGCACGCCCACATCCCCTCACCCCTGCACCACCTGCACCCCTGCACACCGACAAACCTACACCCCTGCACTCCCTGAACACCCGCATCCCCGCACCCCTGCACCACACTCATGCCCCACACCAACAAACCTGCACCCTGGCACCCCCTCCCACCCCCACCCACCTGAACACAGGCACCCCCGCACCCCCTTCCCACTGACACCCCTGCACCCTGGCACCCCCATACACCGGCACCTCCTGCACCCCTGAACAGCCGACTAGAGCCTCCAATGCACACACCAACCTAAAGCCAGCTGCCTTCAGTGGTTGTGGGGGTTCATTCTGTTCATAGACCCAGGCTGGCAGTGAGCCTCCGGAGCAGGCCGGTCACCTCCCCCGCCAATACCCAAGCCCCAGGCCCCCCGCCCCTTGCCCGCCGTCCAGGAGGCCCGTCGGAGCCTCTGCCCATCAGCTCCCGCCGCCAGGCCCTGCAGCCTGCTCTCCCTGAAAGCAGTCCCATCCCCTGGGGTGTCCCTTTACTACGTCCTGCAGGACTGGAGGCCCCCTGGGTTGACGGCAGACGTCCTCCAGGAAGGGCCACCTCACACCCTTGCACCTGGACCCGGGACTCAGCGCCCAGTGTGCCCACAGCGGGTGGATCCTGTGTCTGTGGAGGAGGCGTGCCCCTTCTGGGAGCAGCTGGACCCTGGGACTGAGCCCAGAATCGCCTCTATCCTCCAGTCCCTCACAAGGGAGGGCCGACCGTCGATGGACAACACCTAGATTCTTATCCATTAGGCTAGAGGCAGGACTTCTGAAAATGTAGAGCCTACCCCGAAACTATATCAAAGGAGACCAAGACGAGGAGTTAGGCTGCCAGGTTTGATGGAACTTACAAGGTTAAACGGAAAAGATTTTGCGTGATGGAGCGCCAACCTCGGGAGGAGACCCCCCGGGAGTCACTGTGTCCCTGCTTTCTGCTGCCCCCAATTCCAGCCATCAGGAGGGAGGCTGGACCCCACGATCCCCTGATCGCCACCCCAAAGGGCACACATCGAAATGCTCCCAACTCAGAACACCGTGAGCATCAGTGAATGTATTTACTTGTCCCCTCCACCCCCCGTGTTCCCCAAAGAGAACTGAGCACATCTACAACATGGGGTGAGCCCTTAAGTCACGTAACAGCTCCCCACAACACCGGGCGAAGGATGAAACCAGTGGAAACAGAGTTACAGCCCGGGGCCCGGGGGGCCATAGTACCTGTGTGCCCACCTGCCTGGGTTTGGATCCTGGCTCTGCCACTTGCTGGTCTGTGACCCTGGCAAGTTACGTGACATCCTTGCGCCTCGGTCCCTTCATCTCTAACATGGACGTACTGAGGGTACCTGCCTCACTGGGTTGCTGTGGGTATGAAAAACTGGGAAGCAGCTGCCCTCGAGGAGCACTTGGATGGGTATTTGGTCCCAGAGGGACCCCTCGGTCTGTGTTAGCCGTTATTAATGTATAACCAATATTGCTGTGGTCACCACAAATATATAAATACGCAGTCGGCTGGGAGTTTCAACCCTGGCCCCAGGATTTGTCTGTGAATCCATCTGCCCTCGTGCTCCAAGGTCCAAGGCCAGTGCCACGTGAGGCTGGCAGGCCAGGGGCTCCCCCATGAGCCCTGCTTCCTGCAGCAGGCAGCCCGGACCAGACGTCTCGCTCACCACGCTCCTCTGGTGCCTGTGTGACCTCTGCCCCTAGAGCTCCCGGCCTAGCCCTTTAGAGGTCAAGGCGATGGCTTCAGAGCTCTTCCCTTGCAGAAGTAGGAGATGGGGGGGAGTGATTTTTCAAAATTGAGCAGCAATGGGGTTTCTCCTTTGTGTGAAACTGAGGCCAAGGCCGCCGGGGCAACAGTGACCCACTCTTCTGCAGAACCCAGAGAACACAGAAGTCAATTCTCGACATTCCGTGGGGGAAAGAAGAGACAGGTGCGATCACATTTCCTCTTTCTCTGTGCCACCGTTTCCAAGCTTCGCCTCCACCCCGAGGCCAAGGATAACATAGAAAATGAACAATGTGGGAAACGGTGCAGATAGCCCTCGCCCCCAAAACACAGAAGATGGGCGGACTTGGGGATACAGAATCCTAGAACGCTAGCGCTGCCAGGAATCGCCGCAACGCTCATCTTACAGTCACAGAAACCAAAGCCATAAGAGGTTACAGACTTAGGAAGGACAGCCAGTCGGGGACATCCTGGGACGGGACCCCACACGTCCAATACAACACACCCTAGGTACCAACGGCACTTGGCAGGCCTCCCAGGTGGCCGAAGGCTCCCAGGCTATCCTAGTACCTTCTCTCACGTTCCTCTTCATTTGCTCTGTGACCTCAGTCAAGGTCATGACTTCATGTCCCAAAGCTCTTGCTCAAGTAATTAATAAAGAAGTGCTAGAAGGAGACGATGGGCACGCGCTAGGGTTCTCCTGCGGCTTCCCACGGCGGCAGCGCTGTGCACGCACACATGTGTGCGCCTGCGTGCATGTGTGTGTGAGAGGGACGGAGAGAAGAAAGAAAGTAGGCCAGAGTGAGGGCCACCCAGTGAAGCCCTGATGCAACCGCCACCGTGATACGTGCGAGCACAGGACCAATAGCCACGTACCTACGGTGACCTGGACGGGCTCCAAGCTCTGGATCTGCGGGTCCTCACTTTCGGAGGCATCCTGGCCCTCATGCAGGTTGTTTCTCTTCACGTGGGCCACCACAAAGAAACACAACCCCATGAGTACAATCAGGGGCCCCATGATCTGCAGGGACAGGAATCCACACATCTGCGGCTCCGTGTCGGCAGAGTCCGTCTCGTTCAGTGCTTCCTGCGCCCAGTCTGAGCCACAGCCGGGGACCCAAATGCCCAGGATGCTGATGAGCATGCCACTTGTCAGGAACAGAAACCCGAAGATGAGGCACTGGACAAACTGGCGACTCTCCCCACAGAGGAAGGCTCGGTCGGGGTCCGCCGGACTGCCCCGCAGGCGGCTCTCCCGGAGCTGAAGCCGGGCCCGGGAGCGGGCCAGGATCACGGCCCCCAGCCCTACCGCGGCACAGGCCGGCCCGGCGACCTTCAGCACCACACTGCAGTCCTGGAAGACTCTGTACTGGCATGCCTGGAACCCAAAGATGGACAGCAGCACCCCCACACACAGCAGCATGGCACCAAAGACAAAAAGGAAGAAGATGAGCTTGCTGACGCACCTGTCGCGCTGGGCCCCGTCTGGCTCGGCAGCAGCCACGGGTGACATGGCCAGGAGCGGCCCCTTGCCCAGAACAGGCGGGACGGACTGCCTTCCCTCCGGGGGTCTCACTAGCTCTGAAAATATAACCAGACACCAAATTAAAGTGGGCACAGGTGTCCTGACCCGCCCTGGCCATTTCAGAAATCACACTGGGATGAAATCACAGGGAGCAGAACTCCATGCAAATGATACAATGAGTTGGTCCATGAGTCAGAAGCACTGGCATTCAGAAACTCCTGAATATGCCATTTTACGAAGATATTTAGGAAGAGGAAATGCAATTACCAGGCACCTAAGAGCGTCTTTAAAAAAAAAAAAAAAAAAGCAATGACAACAAAGCTGATACAACAAAAGTAGCTGGGTGTGGCTCTTCCTGTTATGAGTCTTACAAACTCCCTTCCCCAGGCAAACAAAACAAAACAAAAAACCCCACAAAGCAATGGTGAGTGTGAGGGAAGAACTGCAGGGATTATTTCTGATTTTCAGACGTCCCATGTTTCATCACAGCTGCTCTATTTCCAAATCGATAAATCTCGGTTCAGTAGCTAACTTCCCGTTTCCTGCTTCAGGCTGCGGCAGCTTTCCATTCCCTGTTTTCTTCTAAGGCTGGGACACCCGCCGGAGGCCCAAGTCCAGCCCTTTCCACGGAAGGGGAGGGCGGTTCGGGAACACGACACAGTGGGCTTGGTGGGTTTTAAGTTAACTCTGCCAAAATGTGACTCTTGAGTTCTCACACAGGTGCTGGGGCTGCCCAGGGTCTGAAATCTGAACGGGCCGGGGGGACCCCAGGGAGCCTGGCACCGCGGGTCAGGCGCAGCCTCTGTGTGTGGGTCACCTCTCGCGTACCCTCCTGCAACGGGGCCTTGCACTTCCACAAAAACATTTAGGCTCAGTTAAAAGTAAGCAGCCGATCAAATCACCAGTTAAAAGCATTAAACACAACAGAACTTGACTTTGAAGGCAGAGTATAAGTGAAATCCAGTGGGGAGGCCCCTCCCACAAGATCACCCAAGGCCCCGCTGCTGTCACCATATAATCACAGGAACCCAAATCTGTGGTTACCAGTTGTCTAGTTTCTGCAGGTTGCCTTTATCACCTTAGGTAACCTGTCTTACCCTGATGGTGGGATATTTCACCAGGACCCTTCAAGTTGGGGCACTGGAAAAGACGACTCGTGTGAAGACCATTTGACTTGCTCAAGGGAAGAAGACTTCTAATATTCCGTCTTTTGTATCTGTCATCACATGCAGGAGCTCAAGGTTAAGGCTGTAAAGCCAAGGCCTCCCCGGCAAACCCCGACCATGTCCGAGGAGGGTCGGTTTAAGTAAAGAGAACAAATGGCTGTTGTAGACGAGGAAGTACTTTTCCAGGAAAAAGTGTATTGGTATCAGAAGGAAGTTGGAGAAGAAGGAAATATAGGAGGGAAATGAGCTTCCAGGTTAAACCTGGACAGACTGTGTGTAAGATGGGATAAGGGCGCCTGGGGGTAGGTGGTGGAGCCTCTGCCTTTGGTTCAGGGTGTGATCCCGGGATCCAGGGATGGAGTCCTGCATCAGGCTCTCTTCAGGAAACCTGCTTCTCCCTCTGCCTGTGTCTCTGCCTCTTATGAATAAATAAAAATCTTTAAAAAAAAAGATGGGATAAAGCTGGGACAGACACTTAAAATACTGTACTAATTTAAAAACCAGAAATCTGAGTCCTGTAATCTCTGTTACTGGTTCCACAGATAAGGGTGATTCTCCACTACAAAGTCCTATCAGGAATTCATTGAATTCCTGGTACCTTCAACTCTGAAGCGAGTCACAAAGGCTTCTAATGTCTTTATTTTTTTTAAGATTTTATTTATGAGAGGTTATTTATGAGAGGAGAATTCATGAGAACACACAGAGAGGAGACAGAGAGAGGCAGAGACCCAGGCAGAGGGAGCAGCAGGCTCCACGCAGGGAGCCGGATGCTGGTGGGACTGGATCCCAGGACCCCGGGGTCACGCCCTGAACCAAAGGCAGTGCCAAACCACTGAGCCACCGGGGCTGCCCAGCTTCCAGTATCTTAAGGCAAATTCCCCAAATACTGGTAAAGTAAGAAGAAGCCTAAAGCTGGACCTGGAGCTCTTTTCCATGGACAAGCGGCCTGGACGGCGGCCACACGTGCGGCTCCCTCGTCCAAGTGGCCTGTGGGTCTGTCCGTGTGTCCGTGTCCCAGGGCGCACCCGCCACAGGTGCCAAGTCCAGGCTTTGCTGAACACCGACCTACGTTTGCTCTCCGAGGCCAGGGCCCGCTCCGCAGCACCGTGTCCCGAACCTGCACAGCTCACCTGCCCGAGGCTCTGCTGCCTTGGGGTACAGGGGGGCCCAGAAGTCTCCCCGGGACCGGGCTCCGCGCGCCGGCTCCGCAGGTTCGGCTCGGCCCTCCGCGGGGCTCCCCGCCCGGCCCCCGCCCGCAGCCCGGCCCGCGGGGACCCAGCGCTCACCTGGGCTGCGGCCTGCGCGACCTGGGCCCCGGGCGGGGCGGCCTCGGGGCGGCGGCCCTCACCGCACGCTCCCACCTGCGCGTCCGGCCGCGGAGGGCGGGCCCCGGACTGGCCGGCGGAGGCGGCGCCGGGAGGGCGGGGCGGGGCGGGGCGGGGAGGGAAGGAGGGGGGAGCGGGGAGGGAGGGAAAGGGCGGGAGAGGGGAGGGAAGGAGTGGGGAGGGGGGAGCGGGGAGGGAGGGAGCGGAGAGGTAGGGAGGGAAGGAGTGGGGAGGGGGGAGCGGAGAGGTAGGGAGGGAAGGAGGGGGGAGGGGGGAGCGGGGAGGGAGGGAGGGAAGGAGTGGGGAGGGGGGAGCGGAGAGGTAGGGAGGGAAGGAGGGGGGAGGGAGAGAGCGGGGAGGGAGGGAGGGAAGGAGTGGGGAGGGGGGAGCGGGGAGGGAGGGAGGGAAGGAGTGGGGAGGGGGGAGCGGGGAGGGAGGGAGGGAAGGAGTGGGGAGGGGGGAGCGGGGAGGGAGGGAGGGAAGGAGTGGGGAGGGGGGAGCGGGGAGGGAGGGAGGGAAGGAGTGGGGAGGGGGGAGCGGGGAGGGAGGGAGGGAAGGAGTGGGGAGGGGGGAGCGGGGAGGGAGGGAGGGAAGGAGTGGGGAGGGGGGAGCGGGGAGGGAGGGAGGGAAGGAGTGGGGAGGGGGGAGCGGGGAGGGAGGGAGGGAAGGAGTGGGGAGGGGGGAGCGGGGAGGGAGGGAGGGAAGGAGTGGGGAGGGGGGAGCGGGGAGGGAGGGAGGGAAGGAGTGGGGAGGGGGGAGCGGGGAGGGAGGGAGGGAAGGAGTGGGGAGGGGGGAGCGGGGAGGGAGGGAGGGAAGGAGTGGGGAGGGGGGAGCGGGGAGGGAAGGAGCGGGAGGGGAAGGAGCGGGGAGGGAGAGAGCGGGGAGCGGGGAGGGAGGGAGGGAAGGACGGGGAGGAAGCCCGGCCTGGCCGCCTCGAGGACCGAGCGCGCCCGGAATCCGGGGAGAAGGAGCGCTCGCCCTCCTGGGCGCGCAGCCGCGGGACGTGGGGGGTGGGGGTGAGGCGAGGGGCTCCGGGGTGCGGGCGGGGGCGCAGCCGGTCCCTCTGGGCGCCCGACCCGGGTGCGGGGGGCGCAGCGCCCGCTGGGGCCCGGCGACCGGGCGGGTGGGGCCCTCCTGCCGCCCCCGGGACCCCGCGGCCGAGCCCGGGGCAGGCCGGCTCCAGCGCCGCCGCAGGCCCTCGCGGGGCCGCCCCCCCTCTCCGTGCCGGCCCCCCTGCGGCCCCCGGGTGCCCGCACAGCCCAGCCGGCCGCGGCTCCCCCGCCCGGAGCCCGGAGCCCGGAGCCTCAGGATGGGCTCACCTGGAGCCGCGTTACCTGGAACCTGCCGGCCCCGCAGCAGAGGTCGGGGCGCCGTGGCTGGGAGTCGGGGGCCAGCCCGGTGCACCTGCGCGGGGCGGGGGGGGGGGGCGGTGAGCTGGGAACCTGTCGGCCCGCAGCAGAGGTCGGGGCGCCCTGGAGGTGAGTCAGGCCCAGCCCGGGTGCACCTGTGCGGCCCCGGGGACGTGCCCGCCCACTTGCCACCGGCCTCCCGCACCTCCCGGCAGCTCCGCGCACCGCTCACCACTTAATGCCCATCACTTTGAGCGTCATGAAGTGTGAGCATCTTGCGCCCCGGTTCATTCAGCAGGTGCTCCCATGGGCCTCACTACAGGTAAAGAAGGAGCTGCTCATTCTCCCCAGGGCGAGAGGAGCTGCTCTCTGGGTCAGGGAGGTGACAGGGACATCCGGGGGCTCTGAGCACTGGGGGGGGGGGGTCGAGCCTGGGCTTGGGGGGGGTGTCCTGCATGGGACTTAGTGGGGCGCTGGTCCCAGAGGCCGCATGTGGACTTTCCCACCAGCCGCAGCCCGGGCTCTGACCACCTCTGCCCTCGCTGCTGCTGATTGTCACCCTAGTGGACCACACTGACACCCTCACTCTGTGCCGGCCTCTGTGGTACCATGTTCCCTACACCCTTGGTTCTTCTGCGTGTTCCCAGCAACCCAGAGACGGCGGGAGACAGAAGAAGATGGGAGAAGGGGGAGGCTCAAAATCAGACAGTTTTCAGGCGAGGAAACTGAGGCCCAAAGGCAAAAATTGACCTCCACAGCTGATTACCATGGAGCAGGGGCCTGAACCCACCGCTCCGCCCAGGTACACCTGTCACCCAGAGGACACGTGCCGCCACAAACTCAGAAAACGACTTTTTAATCATATGGCTTTTTTTTTTTTTAAGAGACAGAGAGAGTAAGTGTGTGAGAACAGGGCAGGGGCAGAGGGACAGGGAGAGAGAATCTGAAGCAGGCACCGCGTGGCACCCTGAGATCCCCGTGACCCTGGGATCCTCACGACCTGGGCCGAGACCAAGAGTCGGATACGGCACCCACGGAGCCACCCAGGCACCCCTATTAGGGGGCTTTTTCATCATTATAACAATATAGACACTGCATCCCGAGGATGTTGTGCATCTACGTGGAGATACCCTGGTCAAGTGTCAGTGAGATGAGGGTGGATCTCAAGGTACACCTGGCTGATGCACGGGTCACCAGCAGCGGTGATTGCACAACAGCAGGGGACAGCGAGCTTTCTAAGAACACAGGCCCTGAGTAGAGGACGTGTGCTCCCCACACAGGCCTGCTAACAACTCTTGTACAAGAGGGCTCCCGTCTCCCTTCACACTCACGCTTTCCTTCTCCCGAGTTTGAAACTCAATCTCTTGGCCGCGTCACGCGCGCGGGTCCCCCAGGGGCCTGTTGATACAGCTGCCCCCGTGGTGCCACATGACTGCAGGCCGGCCACACGTGACGGACTTGAATGTGCTGGCACCAAGGACGATCAGATTAGCCTCCGCTTGGCATATCTGCGGCCTGGACGGGTGGCCTTGCGGGGCCTGTTTGACTAAGTTAAAATCCTTGGAACCCGGTCGTGGGCCAGGTGTGGAAGGCGTAGCCGGCGGCCTTCCCGGCGCTCATCCCGCGGGCGCACCTCCCTCCAGGCGCGAGGCTGAGGGACCCCTCAGTATGGAAAACTGAGTGGCCTCTCCTAGACCGTGGGGCCGAGAGAAATGGCATCAGAACAAGCTCTGAAAAACGGGCGGGTGTGAACTGAGGCGGGAACACGGACGGAGCCGCGGTGTGCGTTCATTGATTCGTGGGCAGACGTTCACGGAGGCCGGCCCTGTGCCAACCAGCGGGCCCCGGCATCCTCTGCCCTCAAGGAACTCCTCACGAGTCCGAGGAGGAGGAGAGAGGCCATGAAGGAAACGTGGAGAAGGCAGCAGGCGCCATGGGGAATCGCGGGAGGCGTTGGGGAGGTCCCGCTCCGTGTCCCCCAGGCCACGCGGAGCTGAGGGGTGGGAAAGCCAGCCCGCTGGTTATCTAGGAGGCCGCGGCAGGGCAGCTCTCCAAGAACCAGTCGTAAAACTATCACAGAGAGCTACAGTGACAGTTTGGTTGAAGAAAGGAAGGGCGTGGGATCCCTGGGTGGCGCAGCGGTTTGGCGCCTGCCTTTGGCCCAGGGCGCGATCCTGGAGACCCGGGATCGAGTCCCACGTCGGGCTCCCGGTGCATGGAGCCTGCTTCTCCCTCTGCCTGTGTCTCTGCCTCTTTCTCTCTCTCTCTGTGTGTGTGTGACTATCATAAAATAAATAAAAATTAAAAAAAAAAAAGGAAGGGCGTCAGACACAGGAGAAAGCAAGTGCAAAGGCCCTGAGGCAAAAGCAGGGAGGGCCTCTTCAAGGGAGACTAAGCGGCCAGAATGACTGGGTGAGCAGGGGAGGAGGGATGGGGAGGAGGTCAGAGAGGAAAGGCACCTGTGTGTGGCTCTGTGTACCAGATGACCTGGAGGTTCGTGGGCCATCGTAAGTGCTGGGTGCGAGGAGGAGCCTTTGGAGGGTTGTTTGGTTTTTTGTGTTTGTTTTTTTAGCTAAATATGGTCTGACTTATTTTTTTTTAAGGCAACAGTGGCCTCCAGGTGAGAATGGTGTGAGGAGGGGCGAGGGTGGCAGGAGGCATGTAGGAGGCTGTTGGGGTGACCGGGGTGACCCAGGAGGGACACAGCTGTGCTTGTGTCTGAAGGTGAGAGCGCAGCTGGCCTCCTACGTCTCCAAGAGGGAGCCCTTGGGCTGCATGTGGGTTTTGGACCCCAGGGGCCAGGAGGATGATCCCAGTATTACTCAGGACGGGGAGGGGGCAGGACAAGAAGCTTGGACTGGTGGTGTGAGACGGCCAGTGGGGGAGCTGAGTGGGCTGTGGGGGAACCCCGTCCTGCGCTCCGTCCAGGCCCACGTTCAGGAATGCAGGATTTCTGATGTCTGCGGGTGGCTGGGGCAGGGGCAGTGAGGGGGGTGAGTTCCTGCTGGTGCAGGGGCCTCAGGAGCACCCGTGTGTCCTCCACTCCCACAGGACCAGGATGACACCTGCCGGACACTCCCTGGCGCACCTGCCAGGCTGAGCAGTGGCTTGGGGGCGCTGCAGGTCGGCCTGTGGGGGCCGGAAGGCAGGAAGACAGCTCAGCCACCCAGTGTGCCGCCCTGCCGTTCCCCTGACACTTTTTGGCCTCCTCTGGGTCTGCACCGAGGAACGTGCATTCCTGTCTCGGGTTCCTGTTTCCCACCACTCTGCTGAGGCCGGCGTGCAGGGATTGGCCGTGCAGGGCTCGATCGCAGGCCCCGGGTGCCCCCGAGACACCTCTGACCTCGTGGAGGCTGCGGCGGCCCAAGCAGCTCAGGGTCTGG